CGGGTCACGTGCGAACGCCGGTTGCCGGTTCCGAAGGGAAACCCCGTGAATTTGGATCGGTCTTTTCGGCCCAACGTTTTTTCTTTCTTTTTTTCCCCAATTGCAGTTGCCCTGTTATTTCTCTCGAGGAGATTGTGAGTGCGAACAATAAAATGATGCCTTTTTCTTTTCGAAGCAAGCAGGTTGTGCTATCTACGAAACCCTCAAGGGATTCGCAATCACGAAAACGTTTTGAACTGGGATTACTACCAATTTTTGTTAAGACTAAGGCAAACGTAGTTAATTTAGAATTACTTTTTAGATGTAAAACATATCGATTTTTGCATGGTGAACAAAACAGCCTTTTGACCAAAAATTATCTTTGCCCTACTTCATGCATCATATATGTAATATGTTTGATCTATTGTCTTCCAAATACTATACATATCAGGTTTGACCGTAATATATATTTTATTGACAATCTGTTTCAAAATCCATCACTTTCATACTAATGATCTGACATGGATTACAGTTCATTTCATTAAGAATAGGTTAAAACTGTATACAAGTGAAAAACCAAATTTCCCTCATATAATAAATAAACTATAGAGTGTTAATTTTATCGGTTCTTACGAAATTTTCTTGATAACTAAAATAAGTAAAATTTTGAAATTCAAAAAATTATATATTTTTCTTTTAAATGTAATTTTTTTAAAAATAGGATCTACTGAACTTCTTGTTTGAAATGTTAAACCAGTTAATAAAGACAACCTAAACATATGTTACGTTATAATTAAGAAAGTTTAAATTGATTGATTTAATTAAAAGCAAATAGTTCAGTAGCTGCTGGATATATTGTGTGGTGTTGAAATGCCAGACCTCAAATGATAAAAACCTATTTTTTTAAATTTATTTGGTATAATTAATGTGTACAACCATTTTTGAACAAAATAATTATTACATGGTTAACTTTATGTACAACACTTATTTTCTCTTGTTATATTTTTATTTTTGCACTGCACATGAATTTATACAGTTTATTGTATGTTGTTTTGGTGTATGAGGAAAGTAGAATTTCGTAGTTTATATCTTCTCCTAAGATGCTACTTCTTTCTTCTTTGTATCTTTTGAATCTCATTATCATGTGCTGAAAATCTTCCACGTAACCACACATTTGGCATTGAGATGAATTTTGTGAAAAGGAGGGAAAATTCAAAAAGGTGGGTTGAGATGGAAAGTTATTGTCCGAGTAGATCAAAGTCATGATAATTCAGGTGGTTGAGCAGCGGCGTATTTAGCCGAAGGTCGTGGGTTCGAATCCCGCTCGTGATACTGACTTTTTTATCTCAACCAATACCTTCCATAAAGATTAATTAATTGAAAAAAGTTATTTGGTCAATCGGACCACGAAATCTAATGGATCTATTTTTTAGGTTTTTATTACTACAAATTCATTCCGTGCATGTATGCGAAAAATGGGAAGAGCCTCAGAACACCTCCTGCTCCCAGCTACGAACACATATACACAGACAGTGCGACATCATTGGACATGCTCTTCGACCACCGAAATCATAATATTACCGTGGAGAAAATTCAGGCTTACGAAACTGCGGACAGAATTGGGATGGCAGGTTGGATTGCTCTGGGTTAAAGAACACGTTAGAAACGATGGCAACGAAATGGCAGATAGGATGGCAAAGGATGCTGCGTCTGATGAAAGCTTGCCAAAACTTACTCGCGGGTACCAACAAACTACGTGAAATTTTGGGCTAATCGGAAGTGAATAACGACATTGGATAAAAGGGGAGGTGATAAGGGTGGAGGGAGGTGATAAAAGGAATCCACACCAAGGCATTTATTCCAATCTTGAACACCGCATGCATTTAAATATAAGTCAAACTTTTACGAGTACCATGGCACATGCGGACTATTGAAGAAACAAGGTGTATCTTTACCAAATGAATATCATTGATAACCCTAATTGCCCAAACTGTGGAACACCCCGATCTTGGCACCATATAATTTTTGAATGCCAGATGTTTGACCAAGAGATATACTCGTTGATTCGACGTGACCCTCTGGAAGGAAGCGGCTGGATTACGGACTTTGACGAAAGAACATTGGACACAGTTTGAACAGTTTATAAATCAAATAGATTTGGAAATGTTATAAAATATATATTAAATAGTAATTGTGAAAATAATTTAATAAAATCAACATTTAAGGCTGACTTTTAAGATTTTATTGTAGTGAAAGCCAACAATAAGAATATAATAAGATTTAAACAATAAAATTAAGTTGTGAAATTTTAGTCCAATTAATTATTCTTTTCATCTAAGGTTTGTGGTTGAGATGAAAATTAGCGTCACGAGCGGGATTAGAACCCAGGACCTTCGGCTTTTTCATCTCGACCAAAAACCTTAGATGAAAAGAATAATTAATTGGAATAATTAATACGGTCAATTATGGCCCTACACAAATATGGAAAAGTGTTAGTATTTACTGAAAATCTGTAATCATTATGGCAAAAGATAAAAATACAAATAAACTCTCCATGGGCTGGGGTACTGCCTATGAAATTTTTTTAAACTAAAATTTTTAATCAGTGCACATTACAACTATCTTGTATGGGATAATAGATAAGACGGTAGAGAAACTCCCTGATAATAATAGACAAAAATAATAGTTTGATCCATTACATTTTTTAAGTTTTTTATTCTTCTCATGTCATTGTCATTGTTAATATATAATAAAAATTTTAGTTGGTTCTATTTATTTATGGAAATTTTTAGAATAAAACACTCATATCAAGACATTTCCATCCCGAGAACCCGCCAGTCGCCTTAATCGACGATGGCCTAGAGACCTTGCCCATTAATCCCTCACACTGAGGACCAGCGTTGGCCGGCTTCTCATGGCATGTGTTCTCTGGGTGCTGCGCTGGTGTTAGTGCTGTGACCGTGTGAAAAGAAGTTTGATAATCACATTTGTAATATGTGTAAATATGTAAAGGGCACAAATAATAAAATATTGGGTTGTCCGGAAAATAATGCAGGATTTTGGTATTAAACAAAAAAAAGAAACTAGTTACTTTAAAGCAATGTTCTTTAATCAAAATAATTTCCCATACTCTCAATACATTTCTCCCAACGTGTTGGTAACTTATTAATTCCGTCTGAGTAGAATTCAGAATTTTTAGAATTGATAAAGTCAATAAATGCATTTTCCAGTTCCGTTTGATTTTTGAATATTATGTGTTGTAAGTAGTGGTCCAGGTGTCTAAAAAAATGGTAGTCAGTAGGCGAGAGGTCCGGAGAGTAGGGTGGGTGAGGCAAAGTTTCATAGCCAAGCTCCAATAATTTTTGTGACGTTACACGTGACACATGTGGTCGAGCGTTGTCATGCAACAAAATGGGCCCTTTCCGATTGACCAAAGAGGGCTTCATTACTGCCAATTTCTGATGCATGGTATTAATTTGGTTACAGTATGATTCAGCATTGATGGTTTCGCCAGGATTTAAGAAGCTGTAGTGTATTAAACCAAATGAAGCCCACCATACCGTAACCATTACCTTTTTTTGATGAGTTGGGGGCTTTGGAAAATGTATTGGAGCTTCTCCTTTGTCGAGCCACTGTCCAGAACGTCTAGTGTTATCGTAGAGAATCCACTTTTCGTCACATGTAACAATTCTGGCCAGAAATGGGTCATTTTTGTTTCGACAAAGAAGTGATGCACAAACATCAAAGCGCTGATTTTTTTGGCGATCGTTTAATGAGTGTGGAACCCAATTTTCGAGTTTTTTCACTTTTCCAATCGCCTTGAGGTGGTCAGCGACGGTCGTTTTACTGACTTTGAGTTGCTCTGCAAGTTCTCGAACAGTTGTTTTGGGGTTTTCTTCCACCACTGATCGCAGAACATCATCATTAAGAGAGGAAGGCCTTCCACGACCTTCTTCATCTTCAAGGCTGAAATCTCCCTCCCGAAATTTTTTAAACCACCTTTGCACAGTGCACTCATTAACACAACCCTCGCCCCAGACTTGGTTAATGTTTCTAGCCGTTTGGGCTCCGCTTCGGCCGAGTTTAAACTCGTAAAAGAAAATCGTACGAAATTCTCGCTTTGACATTATAAGGATGACTGAATTATTTCCAAGTAGCGGAATGCTACAGAGGTAAACAAACAATATCATTTGGAAGAGGATTAATAAGTGTTGACATTCATACAAATGAGTAATCCTGTAAACGTAAACAGAATATTTTATATAGATTTTTTTTAATGAAAACTTAAAATCCTGCATTATTTTCCGGACAACCCAATAGAAATAATACATAAAGGGGCGTCAGTGGTTGCAACGGTTTAGGCGTTGACATGGCGCTCATCACTGTAAGGTAAAGGTCCCTGGTTCGAATGGAGGACCGCTTTTTTTCAAAATCACCGGCACTCCGATTTTTATATGTCCTCTGCTGCTGCGAACCATCGTTAAAAAAATAATAATAAAAATCGTTCTACTTAATTGTTTTATCAAGTATGTATATAAAAAACTTCCAAGATTAAGTAAATTCAATGTCATTGTCTTTGATTGAAGGGGTTTAAATAGGTCACCAAACTCATAAGAATCCTCCTTGTTCAAAAAAAGCACATTACGTAGTTAGTAGCTTTGTATTTTAAAACATTTTGAATTTTGAACTTTGATCTTTAAATAAAAAACAAACAGTTTGCTGATTTTTTTCAAAATTAAATTATGGTTTTTCTTCGTCCATTTCACAATCAGCCAAATTACGTGAAAGAAATGTCAATCTACCTTCACATATGTGACTTTTTCGTTCAAAAGTCCTCTTGGAACAGGTAGATAATTCCGCCTCGTGTTTTCCGAGGAAAGTGAAAGACCAACAGACGTCTGACAGACCGCGTGCCGAGTGGCACTGATGCCCTTGCTTTCCTCGCCTACTTTCACTCCCATCCGAGATTCCCCTCTTAGCTTCTCGAAGCCCCCTCCTCGGCTTTGAGTATATAATCGAAGGGAGGCTTAAGAAGTACTTCCAATCTCGTACTTCATCCGAATGTGGTCAGTGCCATGTCAACAGCCCTGAACCTGAAGTGAGTCTCGACGCAGCCGACAAGTTCTTCCTAAATTATCAAGCGGATTACGATGAACCAGGTGGGAGGTTTATGAATTTTTATTTTATTTCCCTGTTTAAAACCGGGTGCATTCTACTATTGTTTATAAAGACCTTATTAGGGGAACCGGAAGTTCCAGAAAAAATTAGAAATCTGCATTCAATATCGAAACTAAACAAAACGAAAATTTCAAATTCAAAACTCGATAAACAATGTTGGATTTAAATTTTCAAAAATTAAAACAGTATGATTACTTTTTCATTTCAGCAGTTAATAAATAAAAGATGCAAATACTAAAAAAAATGAAATCAGGTAATGTTTGTTTACATACAATTAAACTAATGATTAGAATTGTTTATTCAAATTTCAAAATCCAAATATTTAAAAATATGGCTACAATTTTTGCTTTTACTTAATAATATTTTTCTTTAAAGATTGTTTATCATTAAAATAGATAGCAATGCACGATTTGTAATATTCAATATTTAAATATTTCATAGATCAAATTACAAGCACGTCTAATTCAGAAAAGCATAGATTTTTTATTTATTGCCTTCTTTTTAAAAACATCAAATCAAAATCCACGCGTTTTGACTTTAGAAAAGTGTTTTTCTATAAACGTAAATGTATGAAAAATATATTTGCCAAAAATAATTAGTAATAATTATCATAATAAAACCTTAATTTCAGGTCTAAAGTCTCCTTTTTTTAAATTTTTAAGTTAAAAAAAAGAATTTTTCAACTGAATAAAAAACCTGAAAATGAAAAAAAAATACAATGTTCTTACTACGGCAATTAGGTTGAATTTGTCATATTAATCGAGTAATTATTTTAGGCCCAATGATATTAATTATGTCTAAGTTAGAGTAGATTTTTTTTGCAAATTATTGATTACTGGTTAGTATGTCAAATATTTGAAAGTACACGAATAAACAATTTCAAAGTTACTTCAACATAAATCAAATTTCTCTTTTTTTTACAATGTGTAAATATAAAAAGCAACCGTTTGCAATTTGGATGAAATCATCGAACGTTTCGAAACAATTTCACGCCGTTCAGAAAGGAGGCCTTTTCCATTGACGGCCCTGGGAAAATCAGTTATTCAAACACAAGAATGAGAACTGCGGGCAAAAAGAATCGTAACTCCTCTTTTAGCAAGGAATTATTATTCTTGAAAATATTTGTCGCTTTTAACGTTCAACGGCAACGGGAAGGAACCGCAGATTCCAATACTTTGAACAATGGTGACAACACCTTCATCAAAAAGCTCGACATAATCTCGGCAAATCAAAAAATCGATTGTACTGAAATAGTTGGGGAAAAGTTAGTTCAAGGATCGAATAAACAACCGCCATATAAAAAACTATAAAGAGCAAAATGATTGGTCAAATGAGAAAATCAAAAATTACGTTAGAAGTGTGAGTGTCATTTAAACTAGTAAGTCACGCAGTCCTGTTTAACTCGAAACTACTGAAAAACTTTGGACTATTTAAACAAAATAATGTAATACATTTTTGTATTTTTCATAACATTTAGAATTAAAAAAGAAACAAAGCGTATTGAATTCAACGACACCGATGAAATTTTCTCGGAGGCGTCAGTGCCCGAAACGTAGGCGTTGATACTCCTGCTCATCGCTGTTGGGTAAAGTTCCCGGGTTCGAATCCAGCGGACCTACATTCAAACCCGACACACTTACAAATGGGCTTTTTTCAAAAACGCCGTCAACCAGAGTGTTCAATAACCTCATAGTTTAAATACCCTCGAAAAAAAGTTAGATTCCATTTCTCGGCCCATCTTTGCTCGGTGGTTTTACGTTTTACTAATAAAAGTTGCGTTTTCACACCATGTTCAATGAGGTGTTCCGAAGAAAAGAAAGGTGTTTGAATACAGAAAAAGCACTCACAACCATAATATACTATAATATATACTCAGAAATGTAATGGATCAATTCCACATCACCACCCACTCACAGACCAGCCAACACTATCAAAATGTCCTTTTGTGATCCGATGACGAACCTGCCATTTATTTGATCTTTACTGATCGCCATGTTCAGCGTGCCTCAGACCAATACATGGTAAAAATGCCGAAACGTGTCTGACAGAACAACCATGAGAGGATAGGCAGACCAAGATAAACATTAAGAGGTAATTTATCCCTAATCAATGTTGCCGAATTGTTTATGAAGTGCAAAACCAATTGTTTTTCAGGTTTAAAAAGTAGTATATTTATTTATAAATTAGTGGGAAAAAATACTTACATGTTTTGCAGATGGATTAGTGCACTTCAGTTACAATAAACAAGTTCTGAAAATTTTAACTTTTTCTTGCAACTACATGATTTTAGTATTTATCATTCTTTTGTAAGATTTGTACATCCTCAATTTTTAGTTTTTATTTTCAAAAGAACAAAATAGAAGAAAGCACTCAAACTCTAAGAGTAAGTTTAACATAAGAAACAGAAGAAAAATTAATAGTTCGAACAACAACAAATAAAATAACAATATACTGACATTCTTGGAGTTTACGTACAAATTTAATCTGTAGGAAGGTACAAACAATTTTTTTTCTTTTTAAATTATTTTACCTGTATCTACACATGTTAGTACATATTAGAAATGTGATTACAAAACGGTTTTTCACAGGAAACATCCGGGTTGGAAGAATAGAAAAATTATTTAGATTAAATTTCAAAACGAGAGACTGTGAAACTTTTGGAACCGGTAACAGATCAGTTCCTTGACTAAACGAATGGTAAGGGTGGATAGTGAAATTAGTGAAGTAGTAAGGAGCTTTGACGATTTGTCTGACGACTTTCGATTGGAAGGATTGGATGCCCTGATGTTACGTTTGTTGACAGAATCCCGAATTTCCACTCCGCATGGCGTTACAGTAAAGTGTTGCATGAGGTTAGTTTAGTGCTGATGGTCAGATGTCGGTTTAAGAAGTCCTCGTAGTTGTCCAAGTCTTCTCTTATGTTATTGTCTCTTAAGTCTTGTGTGGGGATTGCACGTCAGTCTGCTGTCAGAAGTACAAGAATGGAAGTCGTTATCTTTTGTTGTGGATGTACAATTACAAGAATGTTTTTTTAGTGTGAACGCACACTGGGTACATATTTTTCAATAAGTCCTACTATTTTCACCATCCTTGATAGGCTAGTCAGATAAGCTCAAGGTGTTTTGGTTGTTCGAGGTACGTTGGATAGAATTCGAATTAAAGATAAAATTGCACAATTGCATCATCGTCCATGTAGGTGGTGATGATGGCATTAGGGTGTATAAGGAGGTCAGCAATGTAAACGATAAAAAGCATGGGAACAAGTATGCTCCCTTTGGGAAACCGGCATGTGTCTGTCTAACGTCCGAGAACTCGTTGCCGACACTATCGATTTTAAACTAATTTTCTATACAGGTCACGTGTATTATACATTATTCTAGAATTGATTTTCTAGCCAATATAGTCTTTTTCTAGCTATAGCTGGACAATTGTATAGGATATTTTTGTCTCCTGAATTGTCATATGTTCATAGTCCCACTTTAAATAGTAGTTTGTTGAAGTATGTCCTGAAACCTACTACTTTTTTGATATTAGATATCACGTTCATAGTACATACATATAAGAAAATATAAGTTATAAGCACACCCAAAGACAAAACATTGTTGTGGTTTTGAGATCATAATTCCATTCTTTTAGATCATAATTCGACAGGATATTTTTTTTATTGGATACCTTCCAAAAACTCGACTTCATAAAAGCTAGCACATTTAACAAAAAATCATTGCTTTGAATCTTTTGAGTAGAATGATGCTTTCCAGTTCTGTGAGGTTTACATTTTTACAACGGGTAAACCCTGACATTTTTCACAAGTTCAGATGTAATTTTATATATAATTATATTAAAAATTAAAAAATACTATTTAGAAATTGCAAAAACTTAAAAATGTTTCTGGGATTTCTTAGGTTTGTAAAATCATTTTTTAAAGGCTTGAAAACCTCCTATCAATAATAAATAAATGATAATTTGTAGAATATAGTTTATTTTAGTTTTATATCCACTAAATTCATTGAAAACGTTTTAAAACTACTACCTAAAACTTATAATTAGGGTATTTTTATTGCTGTTGAGTTATTAAAATTATATTTTCTAATTAATACGGTCACTAGTCAATAGATAAAAATAAATTGTTCGATGCTGGTCACAATTAGAGATTCATTGCATTCACTGGCGTGTAAACGGTCAAGTCACAGTCTTACGAGCATGTCCGACTTAGTGCAACTCACGAAATTTTTTTGCGCCAATTTGCCCGAATTGGCAACCCATGTTCTATCAGTGCAAAACATGAAATTAAAAGAGCATGAGGAGTAGAAGTTGCAAAACGTTTATTAATTTCATTGATATTGCAGAAAAATTACATCTTTATCGCCACGACAAAAATATCACTGATGTAATTTATCGATGATTACAAATCAAAACCAACTATTCCGTTACCCGTTTCGAGCGTTCCGGTGTCTAATTGGGGCCCGGCTGGACCCGACGGACCGGTTACTGCATCCGTGACTAAAGCCTCACTCGGTCTGGGTCACCTATTCGACGAGGAAATGCAACCTCTTAAAAAACGAGACTGGTTAAAAGATAAACTGGCAGTCGTTAACTTCATTAAACACAATTTTTTCCTTTGTTTATACAAAATCAAATATATTTCCCATAACTTTGCATATCATTAATTATGTTTCATTAATTAACACGGAAACTTAAAAGTAGATTAATTATAAAAAGTATAATGATTATTCTTCTGTTTAAAATATTGCGATGTACATTACAAAAATCTTCAAAGCATATTAATTAAGAATTATATTAGTGAATAAAAAATAAAAAATTTACAGAACATTGCTGTGTCCGTCCCCTTTCTTCCAAAGTATGTTTCAACTTCGAGAATCTGACGGATTGGCAGTGCCAGAAAGATTGTTAATTTTTTATTGAAAGTGTTTATTCATACCACAATACATGTGACAGGGGAAGCACATTGTTTCTTATACAC